CAGCTAAGAGGGCATGGTGACTCACACCGGAGTGGGGGCAGTAGAAGCGATGAGAGGTGGTCAGAGTCTGGGTATCTTCTGAAGCTGGATTTAGTAGGCGTTCGTGGTGGATTGGGGACAGGTGTGAGAGGAAGAGAGGAAACAGCTTTGATGCTGGGGGTTTGGGCCTGAGTCATGGCAAGAAAGGAGTTTCTTTCCCCATCTAAATGGGGAAAGCTGGGGTCAGGCCAGGGTTTGTGGGGGGGCACAGTCAGGAGCTTAGTTTTAGACATGCAGGGTTCTGATGTGCACTGGGCATCCAGGGCAGAGGTCAAACAGGCAGTCGTTATTGTCGGAATTCAAGAGGCGTCTGGGCTGGAGACATAAACTTGGAGTATCTCACACACACACACACACACACACACACACACACACACACACACACGCCAGTAGTATTTAAAGCGCTGACACTGGGTGAGGTTCTCAACACAGGGATACAGAAGAGGCTGCAGAACTGAGCCCCGGGGCATCCTGGCGTCAAGAGGCTGCAGAGAGAAGAGAAGCAGTGAAGAAGGGGAGACCAGTGAGGCAGGGCCAGATCCCTTCCCTTGGATCTAGTCTGTCCCTGTGACTTTACCCAACAAAATGTGGCAGAAGCCACGCTGCGCCTGTCCCATGCCTAAGCCTTAAGATGGCCTGGACACTTCTGCTCTGCCGGACCCCAGGCAGCGTGGTGTGCGAAGCCCGAGCCACACAACAGGCCACGTGCAGGAGAGAATGGAAGCCCTGTGCTCAAAAGGCCACGCCAAGCTCCAGCCAGTGGCCAGCACCAACCACGGGCCTTCTAAGATCTTAGCCCAGTGGAGCTTCCAGAAGGCTATGGCCCCAGCGGATACCACATGTACCAGGAGAGCCCCCAGCAGAGCCCTGTCAACCCACAGCACGGAGATAATAAAATAATGGTTGTTGTTCTAAAGCCATGAAGTTCGGGGTGCATGGCAACACAGCAAGAACCCAAATGGGGAGACATGTAGGGGTCATTAGAGGGGCAAGAGGAATCAAGGCTTTTTCTTAATAGTGATGGCATCACTATCGTTTTATTGAATTATAACTGACATACAGTATCATATTCATTTCAAGTGTATGAGATAGTGATTTGATTTTTTTAAATGTTTTATTTATTTCTGAGAGAGAGAGAGACAGACAGACAGATCATGAGCAGGCGAGGGTCAGAGAGAGAGGGAGACATAGAATCTGAAGCAGGGTCCAGGCTCTGAGCTGTCAGCACAGAGCCTAACACGGGGCTCGAACCTACGAACTGTGAGATCATGACCTGAGCCCAAGTCGGACGCTCAACCGACTGAGCCACCCAGTTGCCCCATTGTGATTTGATATTTTTATGCATGACAAAATGATCACCAACACAGGCCTAGCTGCCATCTGTCACCATACAAAGTCGTTGCGGTATTATTGACTATTTCCCTATGCTGCACATGACATCCCTGGGACTTATTTATTTAATAAGTAGAATTTTATGCCTCTAATCCCCTTCACCCATTTCACCCATCTTTCCGCCCCAGCCCCTCTGGCCACCACCAGTTTGTTCTCTGTACCTATGAGTCTCTTCCTGTTTTGTTTTGTTGTGTTTGCTTGTTCTCTTTCTTAGATTCTACATACAAGTGAAATGGTACCGTATTTGTCTTTCACCGTCTGACTTACTTCACTGAGTACAGTCCCCCTCGTTTATTTTTGCTTTTGTTTCTCTTATGTGTGGAGACAGATCCACAGAATGTTGCTCAGGCTGATGTCAAAGAGATTCCTGCTTTTGTTTTCTTGTAGGAATTTTATGGTTTTGGCTGTTACATTTAAGTCCTGAGTCCATTTAAAAAATTTATTTTAATGTTTATTTAGTTTTGAGAGAGAGACAGAGCATGAGCAGGGGAGGGGCAGAGAGAGAGGGAGATACAGAATCTGAAGCAGGCTCCAGGCTCCGAGCTGTCAGCACAGAGCCCTATGCGGGGCTCGAACCCACGAACTGTGAGATCACGACCTGAGCCGAAGTCGGCTGCTTAACCAACTGAGCCACCGAAGTGCTCAAGTCCTTAGTCCATTTTGAGTTTATTTTTATAGATGCTGTAAGATAGTGGTTCAGTTTCACTCTTTTGCATGTAGCTGCCCAGATTTCTGCTGTTTTAAAGAAGGGAGAAATAGTGGCATGTGTATATGCTGATGAGAATGATCCCGAAGAGGTTAAAAATGATGCTGTGGGAAAAGAGGCCAGGTGAAGGGGGGATGGGGTCCAGCACACAAGAACAGGTACAGGAGCTCATGGGCAGCTCACCTGTGGCAGCAAGTAGGAAGCCTGAGTAGGTGGGTGGAGATGTCGGTAGGGGGCTCAGTGCATGGTGGGTGTGTGAACATTCCGACTGCTTCGATTTCGTCAGGGAAAGGAAGTCGAGTGTGTGGGTGGTGGGGGCCCGGGGGGAGCATTAAGGGTTTAGGGGAGCGGGGGAGTGAAAGAGTAGACTAACGGAGCTGGAGAGCCAATGGGGAGATAGGTACAGCCTAATTGCCAGGCAGTAGCAAGGGCTCTCTTGATGTTCAAGGTCACGAATTTTGAAGTGAGCACAGTCAGAGCGGCGGTTCAGCTGCAGCTGCGTGGGGGTGGACACAGCGTCAGCTGACAGTGGACATGACCAGAGTTGTAGCTTTGCCAAGCGAGGATGGAAAACACAAAGAATAAATGAAGAAAAGCAATTTGGTGGGGAAAGCAATTCAGATTAGAAGCTCAAGACCGGGGGGCGAAATTAGAAAGCCAGAGCATGAAGGCGTGGGGGAGGGAGGAAAGAGAGAGAGAAAGGAAAGAAGTAGAATGATCATGTTTTAGATTGTTAGGCAACTGCACCTGAGTGTGGATGAGGGTCAGGTCCGGTAGGGAACACATTTGGATGGGAAGGTCAAGCAGGGGGCTGGGGAGGTGCCAGGAGCCTGAGCTGGCCACACACAGCCTGGACTTCAGTGACCTCTCGCCAGAGGCACACCTCAGAAATCTGGGAGGAGAACCAGACCTCACCAGAAGATGGGTCCCCCTCGCTCTCCCACAGCTTTCTGTGAATCCTCAGAGCGGTCAGCTGCTCTCCTGCTTCTCAGCATCACTTGTTAAAAAACTACAGATGACAGGGGCGCCTGGGTGGCTTAGTCGGTTAAGCGTCCGACTTTCGCTTAGGTCATGATCTCGCGGTTCGTGGGTTCGGGCCCCGCGTCGGGCTCTGTGCTGACTGCCAGCTCGGAGCCTGGAGCCTGTTTCAGTCTGTGACTCCCTCTCTCTCTGACCCTCCCCTGCTCACGCTGTCTCTCTCTCTCCTAGAAATAAATAAAAAAATATAAATTAAAAAAAAAACAAAAACTGCAGATGACAGGGCCCCTACCAGAAACCGGCAGTAAGATCCAGGGATCCTTACTTATTTCCCACAAGTTCTCTTAGTGATCCTAAGTACAGTCAAGGTTGAAAACTACCATCGGTCTCTTTGGGCCTCAGTTTCCCCATCTGTTATAAAAGCTAACTGAAGAGTCTAGAGGCCCTTTCCAGGCACACAGGAGCTTTCAATTCCACAACAGCCCAGAGGGCGTCATTATCTCCGGTGTTGAGGTGGGAAGAAGGGGATTTAATAGAGGCAAAGGGATGAGGGGTGGGCCACGGAATCTCTAAGGGCTTTCTCAGTGCTTGGGTTTGAGGAATCTGGGAGGGTCTGGGTGGGCCAGTGGAATATGCCTCCCAGCACCTAGGGCTGACTCAGGCTCTCACACACCCCAGAGATTCAGGTGAGTCCCATGAGTATCAGGCGGGGCTGGTGCACCAAGTGCAAGCATGTCACTGCACATGCGTAAGTGAGGTTCTCTCCCCGCTCCCACTCTTCCCCTTCCTCACATAAGCCCCCTGCCCCCAGCTCCCCCCTGACCTGTCGCTGCCCAACCCATGACATATTTTGGAACTCTCCACTGCTGTCTTCTTTACTCTTTCCTATGTCGGAGTGAGTGATTTCTGCCCAGCGTGGAGGCAAGGTGAGTTGGAAGATTGGGAAAAGGTTCAGTCTGGCTGAGTCACTTCAAGAAGGAGGGCGGAGAGAGCAGCCTGAGCCAAGTGCCATTGCTTCCGCCTACCTCTTCCATCTTGACGTTGCGAATGGTTGGCGAGGGGAGCTCCATGATGGGATTCTCCGTTAAGAAAACTCACTCTGCTCCTGTGCTGATGGAAGGGAGAATGTACTGGGAGAAGCAAGCCAGGAGGTCTACGGACAACTATGGAAATATTGAAATCCTTCAGGTAACCCTGGCCTAGACCGGGCTGTGGGAGGAGCAGAGAGGACGGGAGGTGAGCGCTATGGGGGAACATTGGCCTGAGGGGAAGCTAGGTTTCGGCGGGAGAGTCTGGCTGGTTTATGCCCTGAGCACCGGGCACATGGGACTCTGGAAAGGTACTGAGGTGCTAACGTGTCTTCCACGGTGGAAGAGTGTCTGGTGCTCTGGCACCAGGGTTAAGGTCCCCACCAGAGGACGGGAAGAAACATTTTCAAATCATATATATCTGATATGGATCTAGGATCTAGATTCCATATAGAATTCTCACAGATCACTACTAAAAAGCAAACAACTCAACTGAAACACGGACAAGGGATCTGAATAGACGTTTTTCCACAGAAGCTATACAAATGGCTAATAAGCATATGAAAAGATGCTTCATACCATTAGTCATGAGGGAAATGCAAATCAAAATCACAATGAGGTATCATTTCACACCCACTAGGATGGCTGTATAAAAAACAAGACAACAAGTGTTGGCAAGGATATGGAGATTTTGGAACATCGCTGATGGGAGTGGAAAATGGCGCAGCTGCTCTGGAAAGCCATTGGGTGGCTCCCCGGAAGTTAGGCATAGCCTTACTCTATGACCCAGCAGCTCCATTTCCAGAAGCGTACGCAAGAGAACAAAACACATATAATCACACAGAAACTTCCACAAGAATGTTCATTGCAGCATTATTCGTAACAGCCCCCAAAGAAGCAACAACCCAGTATCCACCGACTTATGAATGGATACAGAAAAGTGTGGAATATCCATCCAGTAGAATGTCATTCAGCCATGAAAAGGAAAGAAGTACCGCTGCAGCAGAGATAAACCTTGAAGGCGTCATGCTAAGTGAAAGAAGGTGGTCACGTTAGACAATGTGTGGTAGGGTTGATTCCATGTATACGAAAGTGCAGAAATCTATAGAGACAGAAAGCGGATTAGCGGTTGCCAAGGAATAGGGGAAGGGGGAATTGGGAGATGTGGGGTTGTGTTTTGGGGTAATGGTAGGTGTTGGCGGTGGTTGCAAAATAGTGTGAATATACTAAAACCACCCAAGAAGCAAAATACACCCTTCTTCCCGCTGTAGGCACTGCGGTTGACCTTGGCCCCACCTCCAAGATCTTTCACTCTGCACAACCCGATGGCTGCAATTTTATCTAACACTCAAATTCTTCAGCCAAGCCTCTGCCACACACCCAGACTTGCTCAATCTTTCCATTCCAGTTATGCTCCCTTTTTGCCTTCACAGGAGCCTCCCAGGGGCTCCCCCTGCACCTTCAGGCCCTCCTCTCCACCAGGCCACCTTCCCACTTCAGAACCCTGCTCCCTGTTCACCGCTTCCTGGAACCTCCCCTAGAGAGTCCCCCCCACTGACCTCCCATCAGCCCTTTGCACTTATAAAGACACCCAATTGCCAGGTCTTAACCCGGGCTCTGCCGTTGAAAACCTATGTGACTCGTCGAGAATCATTTAACCTTCTCCTGGCCTCAGTGTTCCCATCTGTAAAATGTACATTGCCATGTGTCTTAGAGTGCTCAGGCTGCCATGAAATACCCTGAACAGTATGGCTTAAACAACATAAATTTATTTTCTCACCATTCTGGAGGCTGGAAGGCTGAGCTCAGGGTGCCAGTGTGGTCGGGTTCTGGTGAGAGCTCTCTTCCTGGTGTATAGATAAGCCATCTTCCTGCTCTCCTCACATGACCTTTTCTCTGGGTTTGTGCATAGAAAGAAAGAGAGAGAAAAGGAGGAGGCAGAGGAAGAAGAAGTTGATGAAGAGGAGAAGGAGAAAGGAGGGAGGGAGGGAGAGAAGAGAGAGACAAAATTCTCCTTGGGGTCTCTTCTTACAAGGCTACGAATCCCCTCATGAGGCTCCATGGCCAAGACCTCATCTAACCCAAATGACCTCACAAAAGCCCCACCTCTAAGAGGCTAGGGCTTCAACACACAAATTCGGTCAAGAGAGGGGAGACACAAACACTCAATGCATAAATCCGTGCTTATTTGCCAGGTGAGAGTCCATGATATTCTGAAGGTTTAAGGCTTTATATGCAATGTGCCAGGCCTTTATGAAGGGTTATTATTTTTCATCAATCCTGTATAAGCATGTGTGTGTTTCTTGGCAAGGGAATACCATACATTGTTCATAAGCATATAACCTCCGGTCTGGTGCTCAAGGGCAGACGATGTGTCTGCTGCTCTTGAATGTTCTCTCAAACTATGAGAAACTACCAGGAACCAGAATCCAAAATTCCTCTCTCCCTCCAGGGATCTTAGAGCCCCATTGCCCTTGGGGCATACATATTTGAGTTTCTGACTCTCAGGCCTGACCATACGGTCCTTAAGTGCTCTACAGGGAGACCCTTCACTACCCTACACCTCGGTTTTCTTGTCTGTAAAACAAGGATAAGAATACCTATCTCCTAGCATTCCTGGGAGAGTTAAATGAAAAACCACATGGTAAGCTCTCAATAAATGTCAGTGATAAAGATAAATATAATGTATTGGTTACCGACTCCTGTGTAATAAATCACCCCGACACTTAGTGACTCAAAACATCAATAATCATGTGTTCTCGCTCGTGGTTTTAGTGGATGAAGAATTCAGGAGTGCCTTGGATGGGCAATTCTATCCCAAGGTTTCTTATGAGGCTGAGGCTTTAATCATCTGCAACGTTGACTGGGCTTAAGGATATAGTTCCTAGTGGCTCACTCACATGCCCCCAAAATTGGTGCTGGCTGTTGGGGTGGGTGGGTGGGGGCCTTGGTTCATCTCCAAATGGGCCTTCCCACAGGATTCCTTGAGCGTCCTCACAACATGGTAGCTGGCTTACCTGGTGAACCATCCAAGAGTCAAAGGAGGAAGCTACAATACCTTTTATGATCTAGATTCAGAAGTCACACACTGGCACTCTGGCAGATTCTATGGGTCAATGAAGGCCAACCCTTATTTAATATGGGCTACAGACAAACATAAATACTAGGAGGTGAGTGTTATTGGGACCCATCTTGGAGACTCAGAAGATATTCTTCATGTGAGATCAGGTGCCCAACAACTAGAAACTGGCTTAGCCAGGACTTGAATTCAAGTCTGTCTAGCTCAGACTACAAGATCTTGACCACTACCCTTGGTTGACGTCCATTTTCTTCATGCAAACAATCACGTACTCGGTTAGCAAACGTCATCTCAGCACCCACATACTATGAGTGCACTAGATGCCGGCAGTGCCCCTGTCCTTGAGGAGACCCAGTCTAGAGGGCGTGTGGATGGCAGAGCTAGATCTAGCTCCCAAGTCCTCTGGCTTCTCATTCATGGTTCTTTCTGTCCTGGGATACTTGCATCAGAAGGGAAAATCACTGAAGCCTCACAACTCTTTTGGCAGAAAGAAGCGGTGGAGAATTCTAGAAAATGAACTGAATGTGAAACCAGGAGTCCTGGGTCTGGGTCTTTGACACTGATTTGTCAGTGATTTGTCAGCCTTTTTGATAAGTCCCTTCCTCCTCTCTAAGCTCCATTCCAGAATTGCCTGTAGGGAACTTACCTGTGCAAATAGTTCATTCAGTGCTATTTATCAAGCACATACTATGGACCATATACTGGTCTAAGTGCTGGGGACACAGTGAGGAACAAGATAGAGTTCCTACCCTCCAGCTCCTCACATTGAAATGCAGGCTGAGAGACAATAAACAAACCAACAAAGAGAAAACCACTTGGGAAAGCCATGAGGACCATGAAGGGTGAAGTGATAGGCCGGGGGTGGGGGGTGGGGGGGGGCTACTTCATCCAAGGGAGGCTTCTCCAAAGGACGGGAACTGAGTATAGACTGAACGATGGTGAGGTGACCATGGAAAGATTGTGGGGCTTGGGGGAGAGGATGAGGGTCCCAGGCAGAGGGACCATCAAGTACAGAGGCCCCAAGACAAGAGATGGCCGTGTTTGCCTGCATCAAGGACTACAGTGGCTGGAGAACGGTGAGCCCAGAGAGGAGGGCAGCTGATGAGGACAGAGGGGCGCAAGAGCAGATGATGGGGACACTTGCAGACCTCAGAGAGATGTGTGTGCTGAATTTTAAGTGAGGTAGGAAGCCTTTGGATGATTTTCAATAAGAATGATCTAATGTCTATCAAAAGGGCGCTCTACCTATTGTGTGGGGAGAGGGTTCCTTGTCTCTCTAATATAGTCTTTAAAAAGTTTTTATTAACTTTTTTTATGGTGGTGAAATACACACTACCTAAAATTTACCATTTTAATCATTTTTAAGTGTACAGTTCGGTGGCATTAAGCACATGTAGAGTGTTGTGCAAACATCACCACTACCCATTTCTAGAACGTTTCCGTCATCCGTAACAGAAGCTCTACACCTATATCAAGCTTTTCAGGAGAGCCTATAGTCATGTGAAATATTTCAGCTAAAAGTGACCAAAAGCCCAACTCAAGTAGAATTACCCCAAGAAGAGAAGCCACTGTTTCACAAAAGTGAAAAGTATAGGTTAGTCTTCAGACATGGCTGAATCTAGGAGCCCAAGCAATATCATCAGGAAAAGGGCTCTCTTGCTTTTGGCTCTGTTTACTCAAGGGCTGGCTTTATTCTCAGGCAGCCTTTCCCCTCCTTGGTGGCAAGGATTGCCGTCCACACCGCCGGCACTTCTGTCTCACCAGCTCAGCAACCCCAGAAGAGAAGACAGGATTATTTGCGAGAATTCCAGCAGAATTTCCAGGGCTAACTCTCATTGGATCAATCTTGGTCACGTGCCAATCCCTGAGCCAATCACTGCATTCCACCAGAGAGCCGGGACATGCTGATTGGCCAGGGTCACATGTCCTACAGCCGAGAGGTGGAGCCTCCCCCTCCCCCCCCACTTTAGGTGCACGGCCAGAGGTTAGGAGGGAACTCGGTCTCTGCAGGAAAAGCGGGGTTCTGTCGCAAGAGAAAGGGGGAAACAGGAGCTGGCCACGCCAACCACTCAACACGTTAGCTCCTCCCACCTTTTTCTCAGCACGTGGCTCCACCCTGTGAAAGGCGAGATCCTGACAGTCTCCAGAACGATTTCCCCTCCCCCCCAGCATTACCAGTGGCCAAAGCCTTCCTTCTCAACCCCTGGAAGCTCTTCTCTGAACCCCAACCCCCGTTTCCCTTGCCAGAGCTCAGACCACATACCCCCAGCTCTTGACTTATTGCAACCCCCTCTCTACCACTGTCCTTCCTTCCTCCTACAAGAGCTCTTCTAAAGTCCAAATCTGACCACAGCGTGTCAGGACCTCTCTTCTGAGCTCCCCTCCGGCTTATAAGGCTCAGCCAGATCCGACTGCTGCATCCACCTGCAGCCTCACCTCCCCCACCGCTGCCCCCGCCAAATTCTCTTGGAACTCACAGTGCCTTTGCACGCTGTTCCTTGCGCCTGGAATGCCCTTATTGACATCTTCTGCTTAACCTTCAGTTCCAATCTTTTGAAGTTCAATTGAGCCATCACTTGTCCCAGAAGCCTTCCTTGGGGCCTTCTCCATCCCCACACCCACCCCGCACACAGTGCGGTTAATGCCCTTCCTGGGCTCTCACAGACTGCTATGTGCTTACCTCTTCATAGCACCGAGGGTACCATATTACTTTTGAAATATTAGCCTGTGTGTTTCTTAATTAAAATGAGATTTTAATGGGCATGGAGGGGGGCACTTGTGGGGATGAGCACTGGGTGTTATATGGAAACTAACCTGACAATAAACTATTTGTAAAAAAAAAAAAAAACAAAAACCACAACTTATTATCTTACTCCCTTCAAAAAAAAACAAAATGAGATTTAAAAACAGGTATAATTTACATATAGTAAAATGCACAAATATTAAACTTTTTACCCATACCCTTGCTTGTGCACTCTTTCTCAAAAATAAACATTAAAAAATTTTTTAAAAAAATGGGGCTCCTGAGCGGCTCAACTGGTTAAGGATCTGACTCTGGCTCAGGTCATGATCTTGCAGTTCACAGGTTCGAGCCCTGAATCGGGCTCTATGCTGACGCTCAGAGCCTGGAGCTGCTTCGGATTCTGTGTTTCTCTCTCTCTCTCTCTCTGTCCTTCCTTCATTCATGCTTGCGCTCTCTATCAAAAATAAATAAGCATTAAAAAGAATTTAAAAATTTTACCTATGTATACACCTGTGTCACATCCCAAAGAACAAAGTGTAGAATTGTTCTAGCACCTGCTTCCAGTGCCCCTTCTAGGTCAATAACAGCTCCCCATCTCTCCCCAGAGGTAACCACTTTTTTTTTTTTAATATTTTAAAATTTTATTTCTAGGAGAGAGAGAGAGACAGCGTGAGCAGGGGAGGGTCAGAGAGAGAGGGAGATTCAGACTCTGAAATTGGCTCTAGGCTCTGAGCTGGCAGTAAGCACAGAGCCCGACGCGGGGCTCGAACCCACGAACCGCGAGATCATGACCTAAGCGAAAGTCGGACGCTTAACCGACTAAGCCACCCAGGCGCCCCATGAGAGGTAACCACTTCTAAAATCATAGACGAGTTCTGCCAGTTACTGACTTTCATATAAGTAGAATTATATAATATTCACCTTTTTTTTTTTTTTTTGCATTTGGTCTCTTATTCAACATGATCACTTTTGTCCTCTGCGGCCATCATTCATCCACTTTGATTGTCATGTGGTATCTCATACTATGAATTTACCACACTGTTTATTCAAGCTCTTTTTTGAGTAGATAGGTGGTCACCCAGTTTGGACTATTATGAACAAAGCTGTTAAGATTTACATACGATTTTTGTGGACATGTCATTTCTCCGTAGGTATGGAGACACACCTATGAGTAGAATTTCTGGATCATAAGGCAGATCTATGTTTATTAAAGTTGCCAAGCAGTTTTTCAAAGTACCTGTCCCATTTTGCATCTCCACCAGGCACGTATGAGAGTTCCAGGGGCTCCACATCCTGGCCAACACTTGATGTTGTCACTTGTCTTAATTTCAGCTGTTCTGATGGTGGGGAAAGCTCCTTGGGTTGTTTTTTATTCTTGCTAATTTCTTTTACCTGGAAATCTTATCTTAAGATATTGTCTCAAGGCTACTTTCCTTTTCTGGCCCTGCTGAAACAAAACAAAACAAAACAATCTTTTCTTAGCTTTTGAGTTTCTAAATTCTCAGGTCTCGAGAGCCAACAGGAAAAGGTTGTTGTATACCGATGACATGATGAATATGGGAAAATGAAGGACATTTAGGAACAAGGCTCCCCCTCCCTGAAACTAGATAAGAGTTTCCAGATGTGAAAATGTGTTATGGAAAGCTAACTAAGAATTGAAGTAGGGAAGCCATGGTTGAAGCTTGCGTAGCCTGGCAGGGAGAAGAAAGCTTTCCTCTGGGTGGACAAAGGCAAGCTGCCCTCGCCCGCAGCCTACGAGAAGCCCCCCACCCCTCCCTGCTTCAAACTCTCATTTCCCTCCAATGAACTTTGGTTCAAAACCACCCCACCCAGCTCCATTTTTTCCTCTATAAAGAACACTCTCCTCCTTTGTTCTGGGGATTTGCTTATGGTCCGTTATAGCTTGCTTGTCCTGAACTGCAGTTCTTCTGCTCTTTCTAATAAACTGGATTTTTCTGGCCGAATCACTTACCTTTTTCTCCTAAAAGGTGGACACAGACAAGGGGAGGAGAGAGAGCTGGAGGAGCAGCAAAGGGGGAGGTGGATGGTCCAAGGTCCTGGGGCAGGGACACTGGAACTGGCCCCTTCTCTGGACGTGCCCCGGCTTGGAGTAAGGCCCTAGAATCTCCAGATACCTTCAAAGAAACTGAATGTAGAAAAGCCTGTGCTCACAGACAAGTGGCTGTGTTTGGCCGGCAGAAGAATCTCAAATGTCTAGCAGAGTTCTCTGCACCCCAGGGGCCCTGGAAGCCGAGCGATGGGTCCTGGGCTCGTGGAAGGACCCCGGGAGCAGCTGAGAGAGGAAATGAGATGTAGGAAGAGAGATAACTTAGCAGCGCCCTGTGCAGGTGGTGACCTCTCCTCAAACAGGAACAACGATGTCTTTTTAAAAAAAATTTTTTAAATGTTTATTTACTTTTGAGACAGAGAGAGACAGAGAATGAATGGGGGAGGGGCAGAGAGGAGGGAGACACAGAATCAGGAGGCTTCAGGCTCTGAGCTGTCAGCACAGAGCCCGACATGGGGCTTGAACTCACGGACTGCAAGATCATGACCTGAGCCGAAGTTGGATGCTTAACCGGCTGAGCCCCCCAGGCTCCCCAGAACAACAACGTCTTAACAGACGCCAGACTGGATAAGTGATGATGCGCCCTGGGGGTTCCCGTAGCAGCTCTCGAACTGACCTACTACCCCCAGACAAATAGAAAAAAAACAATTTACCTGAGATTAAGGATTTCTACCCAAAATGGGAGATCAGAGCAGAGACTGAGCTCACTGAGTAAAAACTAAAGTTACCTTTCTTGCTCACCTGAGTTCGTGAACGGAAATTGGACCACTGCTGTACTCTTCCCACTGTATTATGTTTGTGTCTTTATTTTCCTTTCATCTTCTTGAGACTAAGCAGCTGGAGGTCAGGAATAAGGTCTGATTTGTCCTGGAATCAGCAACAACCTGTGCCAGGGCCCAGCACAGAGTAGGGACTCAGTGAAGATTTGTTAAATGCTGATTGTAAGCTTCTTGAGGGAAGGGAAGAGGAAGACAGCTACGTAGTTGTGCCCATCCTCTGTACAAAGCCCTCCGCCATGTCATACACATTGGTCCCCCTATGAGGTTAGACTATGATCACCTCATTTTACAGATAACATTTACTGAGCACTGTTCTTAGCAGTTTTCATGTATTAACTCACGTTATCCTCACTACAACCCACTGAGGTTAATACTACTATTACTCTCATCTTATAGATGGGGAAACTGAGGCATAGAGCAATGAGGTGACTTGCTAAAGATTGTGACAGATTTCAGTCCAGGCTGATTGATTCCAACCCATATGTGCCCATCTCCAGCCCGTTCCATTGCCCATTTCCAGCCCGGTGCCCATGCTCCCTGCATGGTCTGCCTGAAACTCTCTTCCTTCTTAATCCCTGCCCATCCCACTGGTGAACTCTTCATACCCTTTACACATCCTCTGACTGCCTTGATGCTCAAAAGTATAATTATACATTCCTCCTTTCCTTTACTCCCATTGCACTTTATTTTTAGGATTTGTGTGTTAGGATTAGTTTATCTGTATGAAAGAGAAGATCCAAAATAATGGGGTGATAGGCAAAATGTTTCTTTTTCATGTGAAAGAAGTATGGAGACAAATAATGCTGAGCTGATATAGCAGCTCCACGGTGGCAGTGACTGAGGCTATTTTATCTGCTCCACCATCTGAGTATGGAACTCCCTTCCCAAGGTGACGTTATAGGTCAAAATGGCTGCTGAAGCTCCAGGCATTGCATCTACATTCCAAGTAGCAGAAAAAAAGGAAAGGATGATTTGCTTGTTCCTTTTAAGAAGACTTCCCAGTAATCCCCGCAACATTTCCTCTTACATATCATTAGCCAAAATTTAGTTACATGACCACACCTTGCTGCAAGGGAGGCTGGGAAATCTAATCTTTTAGTCTGATATTGAAAGAAAGGTTGTTGAGAGGCAAAGCACAGTCTCTGAGACATCACTGCTTTAGCGTTTACCACAT